TATGTGTGATATCTGACGGCACTTTCCGGTGTATTATATGTGAAAAGCTCTTATAATAGTGACAATTGTCTTAAGACTAACCACGAGGTTAGCCATCATTTGCTCGACGAGTGGTGTTTGTGGTGAGGCTTCACCTCCGGCGCCGTCGTATCGATATTATTGACTTTGGGTGCCATCGGGAGCCTATCGGTGGAACTGGATGTCGGCCCCACATCACCCGACAAGTCATTATAGTCAGACCCGGCTAACCCTAAACCGCCTAAATTAATGATAATATTCTTGTAGACAACGCCCGACCCGGGGCTCGACTCTCCGCCACTACTGGCGCTCTCCTCGATAACCAAACTCCCGGCGCCCGAGAGTAGGCTCTCATCGCTAGACATAGTCTTATTGACCGGTTTGTGGCCGTACTTAGGACTCGAGTTTTGAGTGGTGGGCGCAGTGCGGGTTTCCCGGTGCCGGTCGGTGGTGGGCACCCGGTGTCGACATTCGTGAGCGGCACCGGTAGGCATGTCTCGCAGCTGGTGTCGGTCGGCGTCGTTAAGGGTCGACATAATGTACTCCATTTCCCGGCCATTAGTGTCGCCCCTCGTATAGGAAGTGGACGGAGAGCTCGTCCTAAACGCCAGGTTTACGTCCTTTTCCTTGAGCTCCAGTTCCTCACTGTTCTCCTCCTCATCGAAGGCCTGATTTATGGACGCCTGCGGTGACCGTCCAGATGGGGACGACCTACTGCTTGTGCCTAATGGTTGGAGAGGGGAAATGAATGTGTGTATTGTGTTATTCAATGGATTTTTATGGTAATTATGACAAACAAAGGGACAGTTGTTTTATGGCTTTAATGGTGGATACGATTGTAACAAATGACTGAATATAACATAGAAAATAATTTCTGGTCTAATGTTTGGCGACTAATGTCTGGGAATATCAATGAGTGGTAAGTGTGTCATAATTATTAGATTTGTGACACAACTGTCCACTAGTTTTGGTCATCAAAACAGATGTGACTTTTATTTGCGATAAATAAATATTCATTTGTATAATGACTGATAAAAAATATAATTTAATATAATAGCGATTTTTATTTATTATTTAATATGATAGTCATTATAATCATGGTTAATGTTCAGGGGAAAGTAAATACAGAATATTCTGTGAATATATAAATATATCTCGACTTTTAAGATGAGATCATAAAATACTTTTTTAGATATAATACACAGAATATTCTTTATATTCTTGTAGTACAGTAAAAATGAATTCAAAAGTCTTTATCTTTTTACAGAAAAAACATTTTTTTTAAATGTTTAAAATACTAGTGAATAGACTGCGAGATATATTGCAAAAAAAAATTTATTACAGATTCTGGTAATTATTTATTCATAAAAATTATGCACTTTTTTTGTATCCGTCGGCGGCACTACAAAACACAAGAATATTCTTGAATTACATTAAAAATTCTTAGTTTAATGGCCGCTATTTACCGCATATTTCCACATATTATTGATTAACAAAATGTTTTCCCAGAAATGTATACCCAGTAACCAAAAAACCGATATATATTTCAACTGTACTTTCATACGACTATATTAATACCGAAAAGTACTGTACAGTCGTATGAAAGCTGAGTCTAAATATACCTTTTGATTACTGGGCACACAAAAAATATATAACATTAAATATAAGGGGAAAGGTATGTCTACGGCGAGACTTCATACCTAAATGTCTCTGTTGATTGAGATGCCCGTACTTCTGGTGCGCCCTTTGGTTAGCCCTAACCACTGAGGGCGAGTCCTGGTCCTCATCCCCGGCGGCGCCTATATTATTGACTTTCTCGGTCTGAGCGATACGTTTGCGGAGCGCCGGGAACCACGTCTCGAGCAAGTCGTATGAGGTCTGGGCGGAGGCGTCGACGTACGAGCGCCGGGAGT